CTCCACTTCGGCCCTTTGAAGCAGAGGGCCTCGGTTTTACTGAGGGCCACTCGGAGGCCTAGCGCCTCGATCCTCCGGGTCAACAGGGTGACTCCGGCCTCAGCCCTTCTCCGCCCTCTCTGCCAGGTTGTGTCCCGGACGGCGACCAGCGTGTCATCTGCATAGCAGATGACCGCCATCCGGGGCAGCACCTCTCCGCGGATGGCCCAATCGTATCCGATGTTCCAGAGCAGGGGTCCCAATACAGACCCCTGGGGAACACCGGATGCCATCCGCCTCTCTTGGCGGCCCTCTCTCCCCATGTAGGACACTACCCGTCCCTGCAGGTAGTGCCCTACAACTCTCCGCAGGTAGAGGGGCACTCCATGGTACCGGAGTGCCTCCTCTATTACCGAGAAGGGGAGGGAGCCGAAGGCGTTAGCGATGTCTAATGACACCGCTATGGCTCCCTGCCCCCTCTGGGCCGCCTCCTCGGTGAACCTCTTCAGGGCGGCCAGGGCGTCCATAGTGGATCGTCCCGACCGGAACCCGAATTGGTTCACAGAGAGCTGCGGCCCGTCCCTCGCTAGATGCTGGATGATCCGGGAGGCCAGCACACGTTCCAGTAGCTTCCCGACCTCATCCAGCATCACCAACGGGCGATATCCTGCCGGAGAGTCCGCGGGGCGGCCGTCTTTCCTAATTAGCACCAGCCGCCCCTCCTTCCACACCTCAGGGAAACGCCCCGCTGCCAGGCAAAGGGACAAGGAGCCTACCCACTAAACCTTTCTGGTTCCCTCGACTCACTGTTTACCGGGGTTTGGGCACATGTCAATACTCTCCGCACACACCGGTCGGTGACTGGTTTTGAGCCTCCACACTAGTGTAGACTCTTTGCACGCGGAAACCCGTGCGCGCCCTCTCTATACACCTAATGTTAGTCTACGTTCTCTATTCTTAGGAAATGATGGGAAATGGAGTTTTACTTGCAGAAGGGACGTTAAGTTACAAAAATTTTACTTATCGTATTGCGATATTTTTTATATTATAAAATACTAGCTGTCGCCCGCGACTCCGTCCGCGTGGATATATAAAAACTTAATTAGTGTAGCCCATCCAGCCACATCACATACATTTAAACATTCGCATTTATAATATAAGTAAGAAAAAAATGAATAAATAGTATCCTATGTCCGTCTCCTGGCTCTAAGCTACCTCCTCACCAATTTTCAGGCATATCGGTAAAGCCGTTCTTGAGTTATAAATAGTGTAACTAACTCCACTTTCTTTTATATAGATGCGACACGTAAGGTAATTCGGGAACGGCTGCATGGATCTCGTTGGAACTTCGCATAAGAACACATAGACTCCTAATTAAGGTTTTTTTTAATGTCGCGCGATGAAGACGCGGGCGACAGTTAGTAATTCGTAATTAAAGTATTCATCTTGACATGAACTTGAGTTATATCAAATTTTAACGTTAATTCGCACAAATTCCTTAAAAAAGTACAAAGTTTTCGCTCCAAGTATTAATATAATAATACTAGCGGACCCGACAGACGTTGTCCTGTCTACAAGTCTTTAATTTGAATAAATTAATATGAAGTTAATATTTGATGGAAATTGTGAATCTAAACCATTCCCAGATCCCCTTGAACACACACAAAAAATTTCATCAAAATCGGTCCAGTCGTTTGAGAGAAGTTCAGTGACATACACATTCACAGAAGAATTATATATATAAAGATTAGTTTTTCATATTATCCTTACAGTTAATGAAATTGAAATGTCTGTATGTTATCAAATAAAAACCATATATCGTGTAAAGTTTTTTTATCTGTCTGCAAGTTTGCGTATGTTCCGTGTACGGGAACGTGTGGATAGATTTTGAGGGGACTTTGCCTGGAAGGTAGCTGACGTACACGAGAATGTTATAGGATTTTTTTTATTAATTTTGTTCTAAGTCGCTGACGACGCTAGTCTCGATATGAAGCTATACATAATGGCTTTATAAAATAACACATTAACAAGTTTTATCCCAAATGGAATATTATTTGTCATTAATTATTAAATATATAAAAATCTGGATGAAATTGAGTTTTTTGGAAATTATATTTAAGTACGAATTACTAATAAAATGATGAAATATGAATAATATTTTTCGATATTTAAAAACGCCATCTGTTGTTGTGTCGTTAAAGCAATTAGTTGCTTTACAAAAAATAGTATTATTATTCGCCAATAGATGTCAGGAAGAGTCATATTTTTCAGTTCTTTTTGTCATTTTTCTTTAATTTATTTGTATTGTTTTGTTAATTTTCTAAAAATGATTCCCAGCTAGATCGATTTATTGCCCCCGAAACCCCCTATATACTAAATTATATATATATACAAGAATTGCTTATTTAAAGATACAAGATATAGTTGATAAAAATTATAGATTTTTTTCGTGACGATGATAATTTTAATTACATAAAAGAAAGTATTTGACCCTGCTTCGTATGATTTACTTTTGTTCTTTTTAATATTATACGTAAGTTTTTTGTATTCGTAAATTTATTGATTACATTGTTTTTACTGCAAATTACAATTATTTAATTGTTAAACAAATTAAAATGGGATATTTATATATTTTTATTAAAAAGATACAAGGATGTTTATTTGAAATTATCTCCAGAACGGCTGCATGAATCTTGATGAAATTTGACATACATATAGAACATAGTCTGGAAGAACATATAGCCAACTAATAAAGTTTTTTTTTTAATTTCGCGCGGACGTAGTCGCGGTCGACAGTTATTTTCTACTTACTTTACCTTACATTCAGAGTTTACTAACATACAAACTTTTTTCAATATTAGTTAATATAATTTATTAACGTAATAAATATTAATTTTTATGATTGTCGTGAAATAATTTAATATACTTAGTTAAGTTGTGAATCAGTTTGCTATTTGTTTTCTTTCTTACATGACAAAATGTTGAATTTAAAATTATTCCCAGCAATAGTTATAGTAAGTATTCGTCTAAAAACTTATTCTTGAAATCAATCTTACTAATATTATAAACTAGCCGTCGCCCGCGACTCCGTCCGCGTGGATATATAAAAAACTTAATGTAGCCCACCCATCCATCCATATCACATCCATCTAAACATTCGCATTTATAATATTAGTAAGTTAAATAAAAAGCAGCTCTTCAAGGCATAAATTCGAAAAAAAAATGAATAAATAGTATCCTATGTCCGTCTCCTGGCTCTAAGCTATCTCCTCACCAATTTTCAGGCATATCGGTAAAGCCGTTCTTGAGTTATAAATAGTGTAACTAACACCACTTTTTTATATATATAGATGCGAATGTTTAGATGTATGTTAGAAGGTATCTCCAGTACGGCTGCATGGATCTTGATGAAATTTGTCATATATGTAGAACATAGTCTGGAAGAACTAAGATTAAAATTAATCGATTGCCATCTTAAAAATAGACATTATTTTAAGATCGCTTTAATTAAAATTAAAAGCAGAAGTAACTAAAGTACGTGATAGAATATATATTTTTGATCGTTAGCCGTTTTCTATCTTTTAGTAATTATTTTTTAATTTTCAGTTATCTTTAATTATTTGCAATATTTATGGGGTTCCGATTAATAAAACGACTGACCAAGATGAATGTAAGTATTGTTTACATCTTGTATTATTTAAAAAGTAAAATCTTTCTGTGTAACATTTGAAAAATTAAATAAATCGATAAAACAACTATTTAATTGTATAACTCGGTAATAAAGTTAAGCGTCACGACAAAATAAGTCACTTGTAAATATATTTAGCTGTAAATTCTGTATAAGGCATATATTAAATTAATTAAAAATTCATTTATCTTTTTCCTAGTCGACCTAGCAACCATTCTGAGCGAGTTAACAATCGATATAGGTGAGTATATAGTTTAAAATTTATTATAGTGCCATCTAGTTGCAATAGTTCAAAACATCAAATAATTAATTCTCACTTTTAATTTATTATATATTAAAAAAAACGAATAATTCACTAAAATATGTTATTAAAAGGAGTCCCTTTAGGTAAGGTTCCGAAGATACTGGCAGCGTTCCTCCTTTGGACAGCTAAACTAATTCTTTGACCGAGGTAGCTGCCAGCTCTTCGGTCCCCTGTGATGTCGATTATTTTTTTGGAAATGTCCTTAAAAAGTCTTAAAGCGCTAGGACCCCACGGACCAAGGGTCTCGACGCCGAATGGAACAAAATGATATTCGGAGCCTAGACCCCTGTATTTGCATGCTTTTGCATTTTCAGTCGCTTCACTTTCAAATAATTTATGTTTTTGAAATGAAATTGTAAAAGTTCGAAACTATGGAAAATAAAAAGACTTTAGCTAGAGAGGAGAGATGTGTATTGAACTAGAGTTAAACGAGTACAGACAGGAATGTTAAGTGAACAATTCATATTTGGATTAACAAAAATCTTAATCCGTGTTATCCAATAGTGGTAAAAACTGTTGCTCCTCATAAAATAGTAGGCGCTTAGGCCAATGGCGAATTGGCGTGAATGTTTCAAATTTTAACGAGAGATGGCGTTAATTATAAGTGATTTAAATTTTCCCGAAAAAAATGAAAATCGTATATTAATCTAACATCTTTAGCTTAACTTAATTAACAGTATTTATTTTCAGATCCTGATGACATATTTAGTGAACTCGAATCTTTGTTTGACGGTATGTATATAAAAGAAAGTTCACAAAAATTGTTAAAATCAAGTTAGCTGTAAAACAAATCATAGACATTTTCAAACGATACAAAAATATCAAATATAATTTAAGAATCGTGTTACATTAAAATAAGATACAATTATATTTACGTAACAATATGATTTCGTTAACTGTTAAGTAAAAAAAAATTATAAATCTATAACAAAGTATTTGACTTACCATCGCCACCCTCGACTTTAGAAACGTCGAAATACTGAAAAAAAAACGTAACGTAAACTTAAATGAATAAATTAAGTAAAAAGTTTATAAAAAAACAAAATTTTAAATAACAAAAATTTATTAGTGGCCATAACACTTTAAATATATCAAATAAAACCTTTTTTTACTTTAAATTCGTGTTTAAAATACATACTAGGGTTTTTATAATGATGGTCGTCAGCTCCTTTAAATCCTGAAAAGCGTCACGAGATAAAAGCACTAAACACCACTTTTCAACATAACTAAGATTCACTTACACATTGTTTCACTAAAATACAAGTTTCAAGAATAATATTATTACTTTTTGAACAAATAACACTAAATTAATTAAATAACACGTAAAATACGTAAAGTAATTCTACTTTCCAAATACTGTTTAAACTTTTAGTCAACTTACCTTTCCTACTATTGACATAAGTCAATTCAATGTTTGCTTATCTTTGAAAATATGGAAAAAAATTGTTTATTAAATGTTATTTTTTGTGTTAATCTTTGATAAATGTAAAGAAGGTAATAAATACATAGTTTTTTAATTTAAAGATAATAGATGAGTTTTATATCGACTTACTTTTAAAATCTTACTAATATAAATGCGAATGTTTAGATGTTTGTTAGAAGGTATCTTCAAAACGGCTGAACAGATCTTGATGAAATTTGTCATACATATAGAACATAGTCTGGAAGAACACATAGACTACTTAAGTTTTTTTTAATTCTAATTTATTTTGTTTCAGATTTAAATTCTCAAATGGATGAAATATTTAGAGAGATATCAATTGAGGGTCCATTTTCTTTCTTTTATATACTTTTTGATTAAAACCAATATATGAAATAAATCACTCAAGTGTTTTTGTGAGAAATGTCAATTAAAATTGACAATATGTTAATAAAAACCTTACAATTCAATATACTGAAAACAAAAATTAAATTTTATAAAATGTAAAATAAATAAATAAACAAAAAGTGTCTTTATTCAATCACATCATCAGCTCTAAGTCCCCGCTCAGAGTCTACCCTAAGTGAGAGTATGTGATAGTGAATGCTGGTTCAGTGCAAGACTTCACACATTTAACTTTCTCAGATATGTGCAGCATCACGATGTTTTCCTTCACCATAACATACGATAAATGTACATATGTAAAACACATTGGTATAGCGGGATTCGAACTCAGGATATACAGACAAGTCAACTGTTTAACCACTGAGCCACCGACTTAAACTTTTAATAAAAAACAATTGCTTGAATAATTTATTTTTCATTATAAAGTACAATACAAATATTAGATAATTGATAAATACATAGACAATAATCACGACCATTTGTATATCAAGGGTAGACAATCAATAAAACCTTAAAATTTAGTTTTTTTTTTCATTAAATACCACTGATAGCTTATATCTAAAATATATATTTCAAAATATTCATGTAAACTGTTGATTTAAGAAATAAATATTCAACTAAACACATAAGAACTTTAATAAACTTATATAAAAGGCTATACAGTATCTATTTAAGATAGTTTGACAACTGACGCCTATAGAATATCTAATTAATTTTGTATGAAGATTAATGTTGTACTTAATGTACGGTTGTCATAATGTCGAATTGTCGCACACAACGAATAACTGTGAATCCAACAAATGGATACTATAATTTAGGTATTTAATAACTTATTGAATTTATTACAGTTATTTGGTTATGTCTCGCACAATTAATTTAAATAAAAATCTTTTTTTTACTTCAACATCGCAATTTTCGGTTTAATATCTTATTTCTTTATGTAGTTATGAAGGATAAAGTAGAAATAGAAAGAGACAATTTTATTTATATTGTAAATCAAAAATATTCACGAAATTTTCGATAGCAAGTTCTATGAGAACAAACATAGAAAATGGAAAAAATTCTTAATCGATTTTACTCAACCCATATCTAGTTAATTGTCAAATGAATTGTGCGACAAATCGACACTATGACAACCGTACATTAAGTACAACATTAATCTTCATACAAAATTAATTAGATATTTTATAGGCGTCAGTTGTCAAACTATCTTAAATAGACACTGTATAATTAGAATCATTTGAAGCAAGTGTGCTTTCGTTACAAAGTCAAGTGTCACATGTAGTGAACATAAACAAGGGTAGTATTACGCTACACCGGCAGTGCCGGATTATCTTCCCAACACTACCTAGTTCTATGTATCTTGAGATGTCTGAGAGCACATCTTGCTGCGGTGCCTTTTGCGATGCGATAGTTCCTGCCGACACCTTTGAACGCGCCGCGACCGAACACCTCCACACAGACGCGAACACGACGACCGTCCGCCAGACGCTCCGGTTTACTGCAAATGTATGGAGAAATTGTATAAAAATTGTGTTGTGTCATAAAACTTGAATCTTAGTAAACTTACTAATATTATAAATGCGAATGTTTAGAATGTTTGCACTTGACTCGCAATCTGCAGGTCCTGGGTTCGAATCCCGTCATTTACCAATGTGTTTTTCGATTTCCGATTTACATATGTACATTTATCGTATGTTGTTACGGTGAAGGAAAACATCGTGATGCTGCACATATCTGAGAAATTCAAAGATATGTGTGAAGTCAACCCGCACTTGGTCAGCGTGGTTGACTATGGTCTAATCACCCTTCACTTAGGGTAGCCTCCGAGCCCCTCGGTGGGGATGTATAGTGAGCTGATGATGAATGTTTAGATGTATGTTTGTTTGAAGATATCTCCAGAACGTCTGCATGGATCTTGATGAAATTTGTCATACATATAGAACATAGTCTGCAAGAACACATAGACTACTTATTAAGTTTTTTTTTAATTCCTCACAGACGGAGTCGCGGACGGCAGCTAGACATATATATAAATGAAATTAGACTGTCTTTACGTAATATACAGTAAAAATTAATATATATATACAGATAAAGAAAAACAAATATTTCAAATTTTTGTCTGTATGTCTGTTTGTGTATGTTCCGTGTAAACTCAGGAACTTGTGGACAGATTTTGACGTGACTTTGTCTGGAAGGTAGCTCACGTACACGAGAATGTTATAGGATAGTTTTTTTTTAATTCTGCGCTAGCAAAGTCGCTAAGAACGGCTAATAATAAAAATTGGTCCTTCGAGTCATACCCAAATTTAGCTGTATCTGGTTCTGCTTCTAGTAACTCTCTTACAGGTGATTTAGGCGCTGCAGCACTGAACGCCTCCAACTCCGCGCCCATTAGCCGTACGTAGGACCTCCACACCGCACCCAGAGACATACCTAAGGGGAGATAGAAGGTTAAAACAATCTATGTTAATAAAATTACAGTTAGATATTGATGAAACTTTGATACGATTTGTTAGACATTTGGGCTTTGAAAATATCTTTTTTTATGTTGTAGAATTGTTTTTTTTTAGTTATAAAGTTATTTGAAATTATATATATTTTATATACGTTCAAACTAAGGGATCAGATATTAATCTCGTGAGGTTAAATACAAGGGAGTTGTTTAGAAAAAATAAAAGGCTTGATAGAATAAGATATCTTACTAATATACATTTTTGTATGGATGTATGTTAGAAGATATCTCCAGAACTACTGAATGGATCTTAATAAAATTTGTCATACATATAGAACATAGTCTGTAAGAACACATAGATTACTAAGTTTTTAAATTCTGCACTCAGTCACCGTAACAATTATTATCATCATCAGCTATCATCACTGAACGTCCCCACTGAGGGGCTCGGAGTCTACCTTAAGTTAAGGGTGTTTAGGCCATAGTCAAACACTGGCCAAGTGCGGGTTAACTTCACACATATCTTTGAATTACTTCTCAGATATGTGCAGGTTGCATCACGATGTTTTCCTTCACCGTAAGAACGTCGGATAAATGTACATATGTAAATCAGAAATCGAAACACATTGGTACATGACGGGATTCGAACCCAGGACCTGCAGATTGCAAGTCAAGTGCTTGACCACTGAGCCACCGACGCTCTCTAACAGTTATTAATATATGAAGAAAAAAATTGTATTTTTCACCTGAATCTAGAAATATAGCTCCAGCTATAGATTCAAATAAATCTCCCAACGCTTTTGGTACTTCCACATCTTCTGCTTGTTCCATTTCGTCTTCATGAATTAAATAATGCTGAAACACATAAAAAATTAATTTTAGACAGAAATTTAATTTATTTTTTTATTATCATAAGGTGACTAACGAGCGAGCGGTCACCTGAGATCGCTGAAATAGCGAAGTGACCGTTGCCCATAGACATACGCAATTTCATATGCGTTGTATACCTTTAATCGACGGAGGAGAGGATGCACAGAAAATATTTTACCCTGCCATGCATCCTCTCATCTAGAACTTGTCCATTAAGTGAAACTTGGATAAACCAGAGTCAAAAGAACGGAATATTTCGCTTCATAAGTTATGACTGTATTTATAGATCTTACTAATATTATAAATATGAATGTTTAGATGGATGGATGTTTGAAGATATCTCCAGAACGCGTGAACGGATCTTAATGAAATTTGGCATGTGTACACATATGGTAATTTTTCTGTTCAATTTCGCACAGACGTAGCCGCAGGCGACAGTTAGTTATATTTATATTTACCTCTTCACTAATAGAATGTCCATTTTCTTCTTGTATTTTCACATATTTCGTCAAAACTTCGTTCAATCCGGGCGACATGTGTCTAAAGTATCTGAAATCAGAGTCCAGTAACCAAATAAATATTTTTTTTTATAATTTGTCCCCTACCCTTATTACAATAAGGAATGATATTAAAAGGGTGTAGTGGGGGTGATGGTAATATTTTTTGTACCATCTCATCATCATCAGCTCACTATACACGATGTTTTCCTTCACCGTAAGAACGTCGGATAAATGTACATATGTAAATCGGAAATGGAAAAACACATTGGTACATGGCGGGATTCGAACCCAGGACCTGCAGATTGCAAGTCAAGTGCTTGACCACTGAGCCACCGACGCTCTTAACATCTAGTTATATTTAAATTTTAATTAAGTCTATTACTACAAATTTTCCCTTGGGGGTAAATATGTCAAAGTATACCCCCATTTTAAAAATTGAACACTCTGTATCTTCATGTCATATCTTTATATCATCTTCTGTACTATATATATAAAAATAAATTGCTGTGCGTCAGTCTCGCTAAAACTCGATAACTGAACGGATTTATCTTATCTTTGTCTTGAAACGTTCGTGGTCTAGGAAGATTTAAAAGGTGAGAAAAATTCGAAGAGAACGAATTAAGTTTTTTTTTATTACGGGCGGATGTAGTCGGGGGCGACAACTAGTTAAAAATTGAAGTATTGTTAATTTTTTTTTATTTATATTTTGAACGAGATTCTCGATAGCTCAGTGGTTAAAGCACATGACTTGTGAACTGCAGGTCTTGAGTTCGAATCCCGTCATGTATCAATGTGTTACATATGTACATTTATCGTATGTTGTTACGATGACGGTAAACATCGTGATGATGCACATATCTGAGAAAGTCAAATGTGTGAAGTCTTGCACTGGACCAGCATTCACTATCACATCTCACTTAGGGTACACACTACCCTCAGTGGGGACTTAGTAACGAATAAAACAAATATACATACTTATGGAAGCCATGTCTTGCAGCTAATGTTGCAAATATAGTATTATTAACTAACGCTGAGCGTAGATCTGTGAGTGCGCCTGGAGAATGACGTCGCGCGTCTTCATACAAATGTCTAGTTATTAGATAATCTGAAAACATACCAGATAAATACTTAAAAAATATAGTAATTATATATCCTACTCTCACTATTACTATGTTTCTAATGGTGAAAGAATTTTTGATATCAGTTTAGTAGTTTTTGAGTTTATTCGTTACATACAAAAATATACATCTTTTCTTTTTAATTATTTTCAAGTGGAATTTAAAAAAATCTATTTATATATGCTATGTCACTTAGTAATAATATACCTTTTTAATTGTGAAAGAATTTTTGAAATCAGTTTAGTAGTTTTTGAGTTTATTCGTTACATACAAAAATATACATTTTTCTTTTTAATTGTTTTCAAGTGGAATTAAAAAAAAATCTATTTATATATGCTATGCCACTTAGTAATAATATACCTTTTTAATTGTGAAAGAATTTTTGAAATCAGTTTAGTAGTTTTTGAGTTTATTCGTTACATACAAAAATATACATTTTTCTTTTTAATTGTTTTCAAGTGGAATTAAAAAAAATCTATTTATATATGCTATGCCACTTAGTAATAATGTAGCTTTGAGATGGTGAAAGAATTTTTGAAATCAGTTTAGTAGTTTTTGAGTTTATTAGTTACATACAAAAATATAAATCTTTCTTTTTAATTATTTTCAAGTGGAATTAAAAAAAATCTATTTATATATGCTATGCCACTTAGTAATAATATACCTTTTTAATTGTGAAAGAATTTTTGAAATCAGTTTAGTAGTTTTTGAGTTTATTCGTTACATACAAAAATATACATTTTTCTTTTTAATTGTTTTCAAGTGGAATTAAAAAAAATCTATTTATATATGCTATGCCACTTAGTAATAATGTAGCTTTGAGATGGTGAAAGAATTTTTGAAATCAGTTTAGTAGTTTTTGAGTTTATTAGTTACATACAAAAATATAAATCTTTCTCTTTAATTATTTTCAAGTGGAATTAAAAAAAATCTATTTATATATGTTATGCCACTTAGTAATAATGTACCTTTGAGATGGTGAAAGAATTTTTGAAATCAGTTTAGTAGTTTTTGAGTTTATTCGTTACATACAAAAATATAAATCGTTTTTTTTATAATTTTCAAGTGGAATTTAAAAAAATCTATTTATATATGCTATGTCACTTAGTAATAATGTAACTTTAAGATGGTGAAAGAATTTTTGATATCAGTTTAGTAGTTTTTGAGTTTATTCGTTACATACAAAATTATACATCTTTCTCTTTAATTATTTTCAAGTGGAATTTAAAAAAATCTATTTATATATTCTATGTCACTTAGTAATAATATACCTTTTTAATTGTGAAAGAATTTTTGAAATCAGTTTAGTAGTTTTTGAGTTTATTCGTTACATACAAAAAAATACATGTTTCTTCTCTCTCTTCTTGTAAGGATGGGAAGAAGTATTTATATAGAGGATGCATAGAAAGTAGAAATATCCATCTGTTTCGCTATTTCGGCGAATTCTGTTGACCGCTTGCTTATTTGGTCACCTTATGTTTTAAAAATAACAGTTCAACATATCTTATGGAAATTTGGCATAGATATAAAACATATCGACTAACTTAGGGTTCCGTACCTCATAAGAACAACGGAACCCTTATACCATCACTTTGTTTTCCGTCCGTCCGTCTGTAAAGACCCTTTTTTCTTTAATTCTACGCAGTCACAGGCAAACTCGAGTAGGTACACATTTTATGTTTGTATGAAGATATCTCCGGAACGGCTGTATAGATCTTGCTGAAATTTGTCATAGATGTAGAACATAGTCTGGAAGAACACATAGACTACTTAAGTTTTTAACCGCGGATATAGAAGGCTATAGATATACGGACAGGTGTCTCGTTGAAACAAGACATTTCTAGTAAGTGCCACACCGCAAAGTGCTCTGACTGTACTTTAGACATGGACGTAGACTCTTTTATCTAGTTTTTTTTTATCTTACGATCCTTACCTAATATAGCATCTCCTAAGAACTCTAGTCGTTGATAACAGTCTGTCAATCTGTTCTTCTGATGTGAGGCGTGTGTCAACGCTTGCAGTAACAAAGATCTGTCTTTGAAACGATATTGTAGAGTACGTTCCAATGCTTCGTAACCTGAAAATATAGTAAAGGAATTAAATTCGCTACCCATTAATTTGTTTTCTTTTTATGAATATTCTATAAAATGTTATAATCAGCTATAATTTAGGAACTCATATAGGAAAAATAGACAAACTTAAATTTTATTTTGTTACATTTTTTTCTTATAATTCGATTATTTTCTTTATTATGTATTTTGTACATTATTTACGTTACTGGAAAATAAAAAAGATATCTGACTTGTCTTACAGTGGGTTTCTGAGACAAAAAATAATGCCAAGATCTTGATCTCCAAAAAAAAAAACAAAAAAATTACTATCCGCGTATGTTTGGTTAATATTAACTAATCTTACTAATGTTATAAATGCGAATGTTTAAATGGATGTGATGTGGATGAATGGATGGATGTTTGAAGATCTCTAGAACTGCTGAACGGATCTCGATTAAATTTGTCATACATATAGAACATAGTCTGAAAGAACACGTAGTCTAATTAAGTTTGTTTTTATTTTACACAGACGGAGTCGCAGGCGACAGCTAGTAAGATACAAAACCTACCAGAAAGCATCTGTTCCAATTCTCCTTCAGGATCTTCTATATATCTTAAAAGTGGTGATGGCGGAGCTCTTAATTCTCCATAGATGGGCTGAAAAATAAAAAAAATCATCAAACTTCCCTTTATTCTTATGTAATTCTTCCATACATATCCATACATTTGTAGTCTTTTTTTTTGAATATTAGCAGACATTTTTTTTTTAATTTACTAATATTTCTTTTACCATTCCAATTAAGCTCTATGCTTGTGCTAGGATATGGTTTACGACAATAGTCGAATGGCGGGATTCGAACCGCCGACCTTGTGATCGGAAATCCGTAACCTTAACCATAAGGCTATTGACGCTTTCAATCTTATAAAGCTTTTGTCAACGATTTTGTCCGGAATTAAAAAAAATCTAGAAATAAAATATATCCTCATCAGTCATTCAGTGATTATGTAGCTATTTAATTGTGAAAGAATTTTTGAAATCAGTTTAGTAGTTTTTGAGTTTATTAGTTACATACAAAACTACAAATCTTTCCTAGCTTTTATCTATAGAAATATTATATAAAGGCAAGATTTGATTGCTAATTTGTTGGTTTGCATTGAATAGACTCAAAAACTACTGAACAGTTTTGAAAAATACTTTCACTGTTGCAACACGTTCTCCAAGAGACATAGACTATATTTATTACTAGATTTTAAAATACCGCGCAGAAGAAGTCAAAGCCAACTGCTTATTAATAATTTTATTTCTTACTAATATTATAAATACGAAAGTTTAGCTGTTTGTTAGAAGATATCTCCGGAAGGGCTGAACAGATCTTAATGATATTTGTCATACATATAGAACATAGTCTGGAAGAACACGCAGACTACTTATTAAGTTTATTTTTAAGTCACTACGACAACTAGTAGCTTTATACAATTCTCTACAAACTTAATCTGTATTAAATTTCACATAATTATTACCTGATACCAAACACCATCCTTTTTGTAAGGTTTGAGAGAACCCACAGCTCTTCCTGTCCAGCTCCAATCTTCAGGACCTAGTTCCAATTGTATCTGATCACCTACATCATCATCATCATCGTCATCAAAATCAGAGTCCGATTCTGATGTACACTGTTGACGTTTTGTAGGTGGTGTTGATTTCTGGAATAAAATATAAGAGTTTTATTACTGAAGTAAAGGATGGGAAGTGGAAGTGGACTTTTCGGATGAGAGGATGCATGGAAAGGAAATATATTTTCTTTCTGTGCATCCTCCTCTCCGTCGATTAAAGGTAGGCAACGCATATGCAATTGCGTATGTCTATGGGCAACGGTCACTTCGCTATTTCAGCGATTCCAGGTGACCGCTCGCTCGTTTGCCACCTCATGATATAAAAAAAATTAACATCATTCTTTTACCTCAACAACAGTAGGTGTAATATCATCCTTATGTCCTATAACATAAGGATGGTTATCATCTATCTGTATATCATGTCTGGGTAGTACACGTATGCCCAGCCAGGACATAAACAGCAGCGCACCTCGAGGTCCACATTCAAGTAGATAAGCACCTATCAATGCTTCAACACAATCCGCTATTGATTTATCTGGAAACATATACTAATATTATAAATACGAATGTTTAGATATATGTTAGAAGGTATCTCCACAACGACTCAACAGATCTTAATGAAATTTGTCATACATATAGAACATAGTCTGGAAGACATAGACATATTTATTATAAATGCTTTATTATTACTCATGTACAATTGCTTGGGGGTAGCTCCTGAACTAGGATTTATTGTACAAGAGCCAAATATCTTTCCTTTATTATAAGTTCGATATTACATTTAGCCAAAAGAAAATCTTACTAATATTATAAATGCGAATGTTTAGATGGATGGATAACTATAGGAACCGTAGTCTGGAAGAACACATAGTCTTATTATATTATGAAGTCACAGCGAGCACAAAATAAAACTGATATAAAAAGTCAAATATCCTTACCTGGTATACTGTGTTGTGTAATAAGGTTGTAAGGTATGAAGCAACCAGCATTGTCAACTGCACCCTCTCCCATTGACTGCTCCTGACCTTCAGCCTGGAACAAATATTACTTATATTATAAATGTGAATGTTTAGCAATTTTTTCTATAAGTATAACACCGCGAAGGGCTCTGACTGTACTCTATATGTAGAGACGTGTTTTAGATATGTGTGGGTAGACGCATATTCGTAGACATGTTATCGTGGACATGTGATCGTAGACTTGTGTTCGAAGATTTATGTTGGTAGACGTGTATTCGTAGAAATATGTTTGTAGACAAGAGTTCGTAGACGTGTGTTCATAGACATGTGTTCGTAGCTTCGTGTTCGTAGATGCTTGTTTGTAGACATGAGTCCGTAGACATGTGTACGTAGCCACGTATTTGTAGACGCTTGTTCGTAGACATGTGATCGTTGTCATGTGTTCGTAGCCTCGAGTTCGTAGCGTCGTATTCGTAGACGCTTGTGCGTAGACATATGATCGTAGACATGTTTTGGTACACTTGTGTTTGTAGACACGTGTTCGTAAACATTGCTGTGACGTCACTGACCTGTTTGTGATGCAACGTGGGAGGTGCGCGATGACACGGCGGCAGCCAGTTGTCATGAGGCTCAAACTTTGACGCGGTCATACGAGCACCAAGTCGTTTGCCGCGCCCCAGACGATATAGATTCAAATTTGATACCTATTAAGAAGATTATTTATTAGAGGCAAGTTATCAATTTATCGATAGTTACTGTGGGTTTTTGAGACCACTTATTTATAACTTAATTTTTATATTATTGTTTATATGTTTAATAGAAAAAAAACACTTATTTTTGAATGGACAAATGACAATAACATTATTTGGATGTTTAGTTACTATTTCTGTTGTTTGTTTTTTTATAACGAAAGAAAATATCCTATTCCAATCTTACTAATATTATAAATGCGAATGTTTATGGATGGATAGATGTATGTTAGAAGGTATCTATAGAACAGCTGCATGGATCTTGCTGAAATTTGTCATAGATGTAGAACATAGTTTGAAAAAACACAGACTAATTAAGACCTAATATTAGTCCTTTCCCTTCCCATCCTCTTATAAGCAAACTATGGGAAGTGGGAGTGTATTTTTATGGAAAGGGAGATATTTAAGCGATTTCAGGTGACCACTCGTTTGCTACCTTATGATATAAAAAAAACTTAAGGACTTATCTTCCCTTCCTACCCTCTTTCTACTAAACGATGGGAAATGGAAGTGAATTTACCAGATGTAATGCATGGGAAGGGAAAATATTCTCTATGCATCCCCTCCGTAGATTAAAGGTATGTCTATGGGCAACAGTAGCTTTGATATTAGCCATTTCTTCTTACTTATGAATAAAAAAAAAATTACATACCTGTTTACTCCTCATATGACTCAACTTCCCCTCATGTACAGTTGGATGGGCGCAATACAAATATGCTGTTATTGCAAACTTAAGAAAGCTGTCACCTATCGTCTCTAAACGTTCTAGATTAATACCATCGTTTGCATTCGACATTGTTAAAGCCTGAAAACATATAATATTATAAATGAGAATGTTTAAATGTTAGATATCACCGGAACAGCTTAGATCTTGATGTCATAGATGTAGAACATAGTCTGGAAGAACACAAACGACAGCTAGTTAAGACATCATCATCAGTTCACTATACTCCACTGAGGGTAGAGTGTACCCTAAGTGAGAGTATGTGATAGTGAATGCTGGTCCAGTGCAACACTTCACACATTTGTCTTTCTCAAATATGTGCAGCATCACGATGTTTTCCTACATTGTAACAACATAGGATAGGTAACATTGGTACATGACGGGATTTGAACCCAGGAGCTGCTGAAAAGTCAACTGCTTTAATCGTTGAGCCAGCAATGCTCTTATAGCTAGTCTTACTAATATTATAAATGCCAATGTTTAGATGTATGTTTGTTAAAAGATATCTCCAGAACTGCTGAATGGATCTTGATGAAATTTGTCATACATATAGAACATAGTCTGGAAGAACACATAGGCCAATTACTATGTTCTTCTTAACGCGGACAGAGTCGCAGACGACCGCTAGTATAGATATAATTCTTAGTAACATCAATAAACATAGAAAAAGTAGTCATTTTTTGGATTTGAAATGATTTAATTTCGCTAAAATGGCGAAAATTAGCGAATTAACATTTTTTTTTACTAGTTAAATTTATTTACCTGTAAAATAACACTAGGACTAGGCCCCGGATGTCCGTCTAATTCCGGTTGATAATCAAAATCAAAATTATCTTGAACTTTAACATCTTTATAAAGTTGTAAATCATTTTGTTTCCATTTTTCTATTTTTTCCTTATATTTATCTTTCCCATCAAAGCCTACATTCACTAATTTCTCATTAATATAATCTGTAGAATCAATGTTCACATCTTTCATTGAAAAGCAATTCATCTTCTTAATATCTTCTAGAAGTAAATTCTTCTTAATATGATCAAGAAGACGACGTTTATTCTTCTCTACGCTATCCAAAGTTATCTGTCCGTTTTCAAATATTATATCGTCATTGTTATATGGAAAGATGTCTGATATATCGATATTTTCAATCGATTTCGTTTTCTTCTCGATATCTTTCGATGTATCGGGTAACAAATCGATTATCGATTTATCTTTATCGATTAATAATTCATTATTTTTTATATATTTTTCATGTTGTCTCACTGATTCGCGGAATTTTTCAATGTACTGGAAATATAGAAAATAAAATATGAAAGTAATTGTATGTTTGTTACGATTTTACACAAAAACTGACTGAACAGATTTAAAAGAAATTTGGTACACAAATAGTCTAGATCAGTGGTTCCCAAACTTATTTTGTCTACTGCCCACTTTGATAATATTTTTTTAGCGCCGCCATATTTTCACATATTTAAAAACGACTATAACTTCAAATTAAATTAATTAATTATTGTGACCTATATATGTATATTAACGGAGAATTCTAAACGAAACGTTTTACTATAACTCGCAACTTGAGACCTGCAGCGCCCACAAGGGGGCGTTATCGCACACTTTGGGAAAGACTGGTTTAAAGCCTGGGGGACATAGGCTACTTTTTACACGACAAAAGGATTGTAAGGGGTTGAATATAGGGGTTGGATATTTGTATGAAATCGGCATTTTTAGAGTTAGAAGCTTGAGATTCATGTTTTAGGATGTTAATTCGATATAATTTTTTATTTATTTATATAAATAAGGAACAATATACAAATCTATATGCATAAAAGAAAGTGGTGTTAGTTACACTATTTATAACTCAAGAACGGCTTTACCGATATGCCTGAAAATTGTTGAGGAGGTAACTTAGAGCCAGGAGACGGACATAGGATACTATTTATTCATTTTTTCCGAATTTATGCCTTGAAGAGATGCTTTTTATTTAACTAATATTATAAATACGAATGTTTAGATAGATATGATGTGGATGGATGGATGGGTGAGCTACACTAATTAAGTTTTTTATATATCCACGCGGATTTAGTCGCGGGCGACAGTTAGAGATATATACCATTTGTGGTGGTTGTGCGTGTCTGAGTGTGTCTCTATGAGTGCGCATGTCGTGTGCGTCGTCCAGTTCGCATGTGTGAGGAGGTGGAGCACCACGTCGCACTCTCTCCACGTCCACAGCCTCCGCCTCGTGTGCTGTCTTGTACTCTATGCGTACACCCATCGCCGCTGGAATGTGAACAAAACAGTCATATATGCCTCTAAGTCCCCACTCAGAGTCTACCCTAAGTGAGAGTATGTGATAGTGAATGCTGGTCCAGTGCAAGACTTCACACATAACTTTGACTTTCTCAGATATGTGCAGCATCACAATTTCCTTCAATGTAACAACATACGATAAATGTATATATGTATGTACACATTGATACATGACGGGATTCGAACCCAGGATATACAGACAAGTCAACTGTTTTAACAATTGAGCCACCGACGCTCTTATATCTTACTAATATTATAAATGCGAATGTTTAGATGTATGTTTGTATGAATGTATCTCCAGAATAGCTGAACAGATCTTGATGAAATTTGTCATACATATAGAACATAGTCTGGAAGAACACATACACTACTAAGACTTTTTTTTTTAAATCTCAGACAGATTTGCGGGCGATAGAATACATACCATTAGAATTCTTACTGCTGCAAAATCCACTCGCATCTGTCTCCTCATCACTTCCCTCTGAATTCATATCTGAATCATCCGTATCGAAATCACTGAAACATACAAAATATTACGTTTACATACACGAAACATGTTTAAATACAAGCTTATATATACTAATGTTACAAAGCGGAAGAGTTTGTTTAAACGCGCAAATCTCAGGAAGTACTGGTCCGATTTGATTTTTTTTGTTGGATAGTCCATTTATAGAGGAAGACTCTAGGCTACAATACGCTGCGATCAATCGTTTTTTTTTTAATTCCGCGCAGACAGACTCGCGGGCGACAGCTAGTAATAAAAGACAAGCTCGTCAAGATTATTCAAACGAGTCTAAACTCGAGGTTGTTATGTGAAGTTGTTATGAGGATATAGAAGCTGCATCATCAGATCAGCTCCGTGTCATCATAATATTGTATTGTCACGTGATTTACACATTTATCTAACATTTCAAGCGTCTGTAGCTCAGTGGTTAACTTGACTCTGCAGTTCCTGTGTTCTAATCCCGTCATGTATCAATGTGCTCTTACATATGTTACATTTATCGTATGTTGTTACTGTGAAGGAAAACATCATGATGCTGCACATATCTGAGAAAGTCAAATGTGTGAAGTCTTGCACTGGACCAGCATTCACTATCACATACTCTCACTGAGGGTAGATTCTACCCTAAGTGGGGACTTAAAGCTGATGTATGTAACATTTCTACTGAACCTGGACATATATGAACAATCGCTGTCAGCTACAGAGAATGTTCTAGATGAATATTGCTTCGGCTTCTCTATTGGACAATTCCAGTTTGCACCTCCTGAAATCATACATACATACATACAAATCCATACTAATATTATAAACATTGACCACTTAAATATATTTCTATTATTCTATCTTTAATTGACAGAGGAGGGGACGCAAAGGAAGGGATCCTACCAAGCTTCCCCTACTCTGTCGAATGCACTCAATTCTTAATTCTTTCACTGCTTAAAAGCTTCACTATCCCTGATATCAGCTATACAGGGTGTCCTAAAAGGTTACGTACATAGGAAGGGGGATGATAGGGGTGGTCACAAGGGTCACCAGAAAAATAAAATAAAAATTCCCCTCTGGGTATTAAAAAAAAATTAATGGCATTTTTTAAAAACTTAAAAATTTTACACCTTCTGGGGCAAATTAAATTTTCTTTAAAATCTTTGTTGTATTGTTTTTTTATTTCATATTGATAAAGGGTTATTGACGATAACATAATAGCTTTTTTTTAAATATAGCAATATTTGTAGGTCATCGGTTACAAAATTGCCCCAGAAGGTGTAAATTTTTTTAAAAATGCCATTTATTTTTTTTAATACCCAGAGGGGAATTTTTATTTAATTTTTCTGGTGACCCTTGTGACCACCCCTATCATCCCCCTTCCTATGTACGTAACCTTATGGGACACCCTGTATATATTTTTCTTAATTTACTTTAAATTAATTGTCATGAAAATTTATCATCTTTTTTAAAAACTATATCCTACCTCGTTTGTAGATTTCCTTGCAATCTTTGAATAGAAAATAAATATTATTTAAAATAGAACGCAATATTAATTTCATACAAAAAAAAATCAAACATTTCCAATACATTCAAAACAACTTGTTCAATAATCTCCTTACTAACTATTCTATACACCAAGAAATAAAATGCAACGAAAAAGGTTACATCTCTAACAAATAACTTTTTTTTTATATAATAAGTTGGCAAACGAGCGAGCGGTCACCTGAAATCGCTGAAATAGCGAAGTGACCGTTGCCCATAGACATACGCAATTGCATAAGCGTTGCCTAACTTTAATCAATGGAAGAGAGGATGCACAGAAAGAAAATATTTTCCCTTTCCATGCATCCTCTCATCCGGAAAGTCCACTTCCACTTCCCATTCTTTCCTTGTAAGTAAAGGGTGGGAAAGGAAAGAGGACTAAATTAGGCCTCCGACACGCACACTCATCAGACTGTAGTTGGAATTACTTCGCACTTGACGCCTGTCTTCTGTGTGCTCGTGGTATTTCACTGAGCGAGGACAATTCCTGCGAACATGTTAAAGCGGGCTCTACCACTGTTTACTGTTTTCTAGGAAAAAGGTTACATCTTATACTAGTTTATCTCTTTTCGTAGTATCAAAATGTAGTCACTTCAACTTACCAGAGGCAGAAGTACAGAAGGTAAGATTCGAAGGTAAAGGTTCTAAATATTCATCAAAATCCACTGTTTCTGGTATACAAGACGCCATATCGTTGCTCCATGTACCAATCTCAAAACCCTGGAGAAAGATAATAATATTAATTTTACTAATATTATAAATGCGAATGTTTAGATGTATGTATCAAAACGTGGATTTAAGAAGTTCTTTTGCCCACGCCAAATGGATATCTATGGTCTGCCTACCCCTCTGAGTTATAAGCATGAGTTGTGTTTGTTCTTACTAATATTATAAATGCGAATGTTTAGATGCATGTTAGAAGATATCTCCAAAACATCTGAATGTATCTTGATGAAATTTGTCATACATATAGAACATAGTCTGGAAGAACACATAGACTAATAATTAAGTTTTTTTTAATTTCGCGCAGACCGAGTCGCGGGTTAAAGCTAGTAATATTATAAATGTGAATGTTTGGATATATGTTAGAATGTATCTCCAAAACGGATGCATGGATATTGAAAGTCATAGATGTAGAACATAGTCTGGAAGGACACATAGGTTTTTCTAATAGCTAATATATCTTTATACCAGAAATTCACATTTTTTTAGATCCAACTGTCATAAAAATAAAAAAACCTTAATTAGTAGTGTATGTGTTCTTCCAGACTATGTTCTATATGTATGACTTTCAAGATCCATGCAGCCGTTTTGGAGATACATTCTAACATACATCCATACATTCGCAATATCAAATAATAAAAAAAAAACTATTCAAATGGTAAATTTATGAGTTCATCATCATCAGCTCACTATACGTCCCCACTGACGAACTCGGAGCCTACCCTAAGTTAAGGGTGCCTAGGCCATAGTCAACCACGCTGGTCCAGTGCAAGACTTCACACTTTGACTTTCTCAGATATGTGCAGCATCACGATGTTTTCCTTCACAGTAACAACATACGATAAATGTACATATGTAACACATTGATACATGACGGGATTCGAACCCAGGACCTACAGATAGCAAGTCAAGTGCTTGACCCCTTAGCCATCGACGCTCAAATTTATGAGTTACTACTAAATATATGATCCAATGATAAATGCTTACATTTTCAGCATCTTCTTTCTCCTGCAATATATCATTGATTGTCTTTTCTCTGTCTTCCCCTGACTCATTCTCCACTTTATCTTCTAGCGTCTCTTCTATTGACCTGCATATAAAAATAATTAGTCTAAAATATAAGCAAAAGTCCAAATTTTTTATGTAAAACTACTAGCTGTCGCCTGTGACTCCTTCCGCACAAAATTAGAAAAAAAAACTTAATTAGTAGTCTATGTGCTCTTTCAGATTATGTTCTATATGTATGACAAATTTCATCAAGATGCATACAACTGTTCTGGAGATGACTTCAAACAAACATACATCCAAATTTATTTATATATGTTTGTTACAATTTTTCCCTTCTACAGAAATGGATTTAGTGCTTTAGTTCACTAAATTTATAGCTGATTTCTGAGCACAAATATTTCTGTATAAAACATATCAACTTTGTAGTGTATGCATCAATGTAGTGTTGTCTCGAGCGTCAGTCAGATGTTAGACCTTTGGACCGGTAGTACGTGTCTGTACGTGAACGAGTCAAATATAACGCAGCTGCCACAGTCTCGGTATACGTTTTTAAGAATTTTGGTCTCAGAAACTAATTATTAGGCTTTCAATTTAAAATATATAAAATTAGTCTTACTTTAATTCTTTCTGGTCTTTTTCACTTGAATCATCATCATCGTAATCTTTCTTCTTATCACCTTTATCTGAATCAGCACTCAAAACCTGAAAAGTGATTTTTTTTATTACTTTTTTTTCTTTTTACGGTTTTTTGCATGTATGTAAACATGTATGGGGGTGTAGTGTATGCATAAACGTAGTGTTGTTTGTCTCGAGCGTCCACGTAAGTACATGCCGGAGAGAGGTGACGTCAGTTGATGTCAGACCTTTGTACCGGCAACACGTGTCGGTACGTGAACGAGCTAAATATAACGCAACGAATGCTACAGGGGGTTTTGTTAATTTCATTGTGACCTAAAAGATTGAATTATTCCTTAGGCCTCTTTCCCTTCCTATTCTTTTTAGTGTTCCGTACTACGAAACGAAAAAACAGAATTCTTATAAATTACTCTGTCGTCTTGTCTGTGTGTCTGTCAAGACCCTTTTTCAAGAACACGTGAAGGTATCAAGCTGAAATCTTACTAATATTATAAATGCGAATATTTAGATGTATGTTAGAAGATATCTCCAGAACATCTGCATGTATCTTAATGAAATTTGTCATACATATAGAACATAGTCTGGAAGAACACATAGACTACTTATTACGTTTTTTTTAATTCGCGGGCGATAGTTAGTTTATTTATAAGGCAATGATGGGAAAGTGAAGATAATTTGATAACGCATAGGAAGGGTAAATATTCTTTCTGTGCATACTGTAGTCAGTTTTTTTTTATCTTTTTGATTTTATCATAATGTTATCGTATGTATGGATACCTCAGCTAAACTCCATCCAAAGTCTAGTGGCGGCCATTGAAATCCTGGGCAAGTTGTGTCATCAATTTTAGGTATACCTAAACCCACATCTATAGCGACAGCTCGACGAATCTCATCTGCTATTAGTAAAGCATTTATCCTGAAAATAAATAAAATATTATACCTTTAAATTCCATTATAGTAATATTTGTATTACATACTAGTTGTCTCACGCGACTCCGTCTGTCTGGTATTAAACAAACTTAATAAGTAGTCTATGTGTTCTTCCAGACTATGTTCTATATGTATGACAAATTTCAACAAGATTCGTTCAGCTGTTTTGGAGATACGTATAAGGACATTGCTGGCTCAATGGTTAAAGCAGTTGACTTTGCTGCAGGTCCCAGGTTTGAATCCCGTCATGTACCAATATTACCTATCCTATATTGTTACTGTGAAGGAAAACATCGTGATGCTGCACATATCTGAGAAAATCAAACTGTGAAGTCTTGCACTGGACCAGCATTCACTATCTCATACTCTCACTTAGGGTACACTCTGAGTGGGATGTACAGTGAGCTGATGATGATGTTTGTTAGAAGATATCTCCAGAACACTAGCATTGAAATTGCTGATATTTGGCATACATACATAGTCTGGAAGAACACAGGCTACTTATAATTTTTTTATTCACGCTGACGAAGTCGCGTGCTTCAGCTAGTGATATATACATACCTGTAAAGTACACAAGGTAGAGCCACAGTAGCAAACCATAGCGGAGCTGCAAATGGATGTACTCTACACAACTCCGGTACTAATATCTGCTTCTGATCCAATCTGTCTCTCTTAGCACGTCTTGTCCTTTCTGAAGACACCGGTAAGGCTACCCCTTTACGATTCACGTATCTGGAAATTTTTTGAACGATGAGATGAGATTTTTTTTTATATAACGATTTCGACCATCAAAGATCAAACTCCTCCCCTTCCTAAGTACTTTTCTCTTCCGTCCCCTACCCTTCGATATTTTCAATCAGTTCTACCCTGTCCACTATCCTTTTCTACCATCTCCTCCCCTTCCATGTCATCTACCTTGCCCTTATAGTTTCCTACCCTTTCCTCCTTACTTTACCTTTCAATGTATTTTCCGTGTTACCCTTACAGTTTACTGTCCTTCTATTCTAGGGTAGGGAAGTACCCTTACATGATTTTTCATCGGTTGACTTTACAATCCACTTCCCTTCTCTTGCATCCTCTACCCTTCCCTTTTTTAACTGTTACACTTAAAGTCCAATATCCTTCTTTATCACTCAACCATATATCTGTCGACATATAACGAACTACATATTGACTGTATGCGTCCTACCCTGCAGTAACCCATGTCTCCTCACCTGGGTGTGAGCAGGTTGAGCCTGGCACTAGTATGGTCTACATCGAGCAGCGGCTGGTTCGGCTGTGTGAGTGTGACGCCGTACTTAGTGCTGTAGTAGTCTCTGAATGTGGTGTGCGTGGCGGAAGGGAACGCTGAGTCCGGACTTAAGTTCCAACATATTTCAGCCACAAGGAAGAACTGGAATACAAAACAATCCATCATCCATCCATCTATACATCCGATGAAAACAGTTATATTTACGAAAAAAGTATTTTTTTTATCATAAGGTGGCAAACGAACGATCAGTCACCTGAAATCGCTGAAATAGCGAAGTGACCGTTGCCCATAGACATACGCAATTACATATGCGTTGTCTACCTTTAATTGACGGAGGAGAGGATGCCTAGAAAGAAAATATTTTCCCTTTCTACGCATTTGCTTAGAAAATTAAAGGATTGGAAAGAAAGAACAACCATTTCAATTTATTACGTAGAGTTGCATATCTTATACAATTCAGAGATATAACTGTTTTCATCGGATGGATCGATTTATTTGTCACTAGCTGTCGCCCGCGACTCCGTCAGCATAGAATTAAAAAAAATCTTAATTAGCCTATATGTTCTTGCAGACTATATTCTATATCTATGTCAAATTACATCAAGATCAAACAAACAAACATCTAAACATTCGCATTTATAATATTAGTAAGATTAACTAAAATAACTTACTTGAGGTTGATCTTGATTCCTATACCAAGGTGTAACTACGGCTTCTTTATATTTTTCTGGATCAAAAGTAAAAGTTTCCCCTTCCTTGAGCAGAGGATTATCCATCTTCTTTACCTTGCCGTCTTTACCCTTCCCTTTATTTTCAACTTTCTTCTCCTCTATCTCTTCTTCGTCTTCCTGTTGGAAGAAAATTGGTTTTTCCACTTCCAAACTTCTCTTTTCTTCCGTATGTTTAAATATTAATTCAAGGAATGACCAATCTATATCCACTTTTGAGGTCCCATCTTCATTTATTGCTGAAAAGGTAAAAAAAAAATTATATTCGTATGAGATGATTATGTTTTTTCGTCCCGGAGGCCTTATTTAGTCCTTTTTCCCTTACCACCCTTTTTCTTATAAGGAAAGGATGGGAAGTGGAAGTGGACTTTCCGGTTGAGAGGATGCATGGGAAGGGAAAATATTATATTCTGTGCATCCTCTCCTCCGTCAATTAAAGGTAGGCGACGCATATACAATTGCGTATGTCTATGGGAAACGGTCACTTCGCTATTTCAGCGATTTCAGACAGCCCGCTCGTGACTTTAAGCTATGACTTTATGATATAAAAAAAAATCAGGCGTATTTATGTTTTATAATAGGCCTACAGACTACACCACTAACTGTGGGTTTCTAAAACCAAATACTCCATTAAAAACATATTTGTTTTTAACAATTGAGGTGTCATTCGATTCGTAATCTTCCCATGAGTGTCATAAATATTACTTACATTTAATCGTTGGTACAATGTAATAATTGTTATGCGTTGAACCTTCACTTTGTAGTTTCATACCGCGTCTTCTAACTCTCAATACATCGGAGAACACGAAACGCATAAATCTGTAACAAACTTCATTATTTGTAAATTCAACTACAAACATTTATTAAAAAAACAACATAATCAGTAGACTATGTTCTATCATCATCAGCTCACTATACTCCACTTAGGGTAGAGTGTACCCTAAGTGAGAGTATGTGATAGTGAATGCTGGTCCAGTGCAAGACTTCACACATTTGACTTTCTCAGATATGTGCAGCATCACGATGTTTTCCTACATTGTAACAACATAGGATAGGAACATTGGTACATGGCGGGATTCAAACCCAGGACCTGCAGATTGCAAGTCAATTGCTTGACCCATCCATCTAAACATTCGCATTTATAATATTAGTAAGAAGTACATTAAGACAAGGCAACACCATACATCGCAGGGCAGCTGGTAAGAGCTGGATGACAGTGGCCCAGGATCGTGCTCAGTGCCGTGCCATGGGAGAGGCCTATGTCCAGCAGTGGACTAATATAGGCTGATGATGCTGATGATGCTGATGATAATGATGATGATGAACACCATACATATAAAATTACAAAAAATACACGTTTTTTGACATTGGAAACTTACCTTCTAACCAAACGAGCTCTCCTTGGTGACAATCTTACGTCCGCTTCTTCAGCCAAATCTACTGATACACGAACCTCACCAGATCTTGTATATACAGGAAATGCTGGAATCTGTAACCTGAAAATTACATTCAAATTTGTAATTTCAAATAGGGCGTCGATGGCTCAGGAGTCAAGCACTTGACTTGCTTCTGCAGATCTTGGGTTCGAATCCCGCCATTTACCAATGTGTTTTCGACGATTTACATATGTACATTTATCCGACGTTCTTTCGGTGAAGGAAAACATCGTGATGCTGCACATATCTGAGAAAGTCAAAGATATGTGTGACATCACACATATCTTTGACTTGGCCAGCGTGGTTGACTATGGCCTAATCACCCCTAACTTAGGGTATGCTTCAAGCCCCCCAGTGGGGACGTATAGTGAGCTGATGATGATGATGACGGATTATCCTATATGTATTTTATGTCATGACTATGTCAGGAGGAGTGGACAGTCCTACGCTTGATACGAATCCGGCGCCTGATGCTGCAAGGTCCCCCATAGTGGGAGCAGCTTTGTCAGCTGAGGCAGTCTGATAATCTGTAGGGAGAGGATACAAACTTGTCAGCTCTGTGCCTGGCCATCAGTATGCCTATCGCCTGTCGCGCGTGTTGCGGCGCGTGCAGACGTCGCCCGCGCGTGTTGTACCTCTCCGGCAACGCACACCACAGTCTTGAGTCTATAGCGTACAGGGTGTTTCTTTTTTCACCTGAAGTAAAAATATTTTTTTTATGTGTGCAATGGGTAATTTGTTTCGCCATTTCGGCGAAATCAATGGCTGATTATCATTCCATGTAAAAAAAAATCAATAAAAATTAATACAGTTTTGGTGAAAATATATATTCAAGTCTGTAAATTGGAAGGATAGGCAGTGATTATCAATATACTAAAGTAAAAATTATATCTGTATGAGATTAGAATTATACTTACCAGGTTTTTGATGTCTCTTGGATGTAAAGTGGCAACGTTTATGAGAGAATACTTACCAGGTTTTTGATGTCTCTTGGATGTAAAGTGACAATGTTTATGAGATAATACTTACCAGGTTTTTGATGTCTCTTGGATGTAAAGTGACAATGTTAATGAGAGAATACTTACCAGGTTTTTGATGTCTCTTGGATGTAAAGTGACAATGTTTATGAGAGAATACTTACCAGGTTTTTGATGTCTCTTGGATGTAAAGTGACAATGTTTATGAGAGAATACTTACCAGGTTTTTGATGTCTCTTGGATGTAAAATGACAATTTTTATGAGAGAATACTTACCAGGTTTTTGATATCTCTTGAATGTAAAGTGAAGTTTATGAGAGAATTTGAGAGAACTTACCAGGTTTAGGGTTTCTCTTGATTGTGTCAGAATCAGGTGATTCTATCTCCTCATCAGTTGTGTCAACAATAGGTTGACAGTCAATGAAGGCGCACGCTGTCTGCAACAAATTATATGTCACAAATATACACCTGCCTACTGTGGGCGCGAGCCTAAGTACAAGGTCTCAGTTTCTCATCATCAGCTCACTATACTCCACTTAGGGTCTACCCTAAGTGAGACAATGTGATAGTGAATGTTGGTCCAGTGCAATACTTCACACTTTAACTTTCTCAGATATGTGCAGCATCACGATGTTTTCCTTGACCATAACAACATACGATAAATGTACATATTATAAAAACACATTGCTACATGACGGGATTTGAACCCGGGATATGGAGACAAGTCAAATGCTTTAACCCTTGAGCCACCGAGTCTCTTATATATAGTCTCTAATACTATTATTATAAATGCGAATATTTAGATGTATGTTAGAAGATATCTCCAGAACAGCTGCATGGATCTTGATGAAATTTGTCATACATATAGAACATAATCTCGGCTAACACATGATATACTTATCAGACAAAGTCGCAAGCAAAAGTTAGTATAAAATCAAAGTGACATACCCGTTTATAATAATACTGACGTCGTTTAGTAGTACCAGGTCGCGCTGAATCATTGGGGTCTATAGGTTCGATTCCATTACCATTGTTGACTGCACCGTCAACTTCTACTGCTTTGAAGTTTTCTTTACCTGTATAATATGTTGCTAATAAGTTTACATTTTCTCAATACATGTATAACAATAATTACTATAAATTTTATAATAATAGAAATTTAAAAACACTTTTATTATATTTATTACTAATATTATAAATGCTAATTTTTGGATGGATGGATGGATGTTTGTATCTCCAGAACATCTGAACGGATCTCGATGAAATTTGTCATAGATGTAGAACATAGTCTGGAAGAACACATAGGCTACTTATGTATTTTTTAATTCCGCGCGGACGGAGTCGCGGGCGACAGCTAGTCTATGTTTTTTTGTTTCTGATTTTTTCTTTTAATTTAACGCAGAAGAGGATGCATGGAAAGGGAAATAATTTTCTTTCTGTGCATCCTCTCCTCCGTCGATTAAAGATAGGCAACGCATATACAATTGCATATGTCTATGGGCAACGGTCACTTCTCTATTTCAGTGATTTCATGTGACCGCTCGCTCGTTTGCCAACTTATTATATAAAAAAAATCACAAAAGACGTTGTAAACAAAATCAAACCTTATTACAATCGTATAAAGTTCAATTTAACTTGCCAATAATAATCTAAATCCACTTACCGATAGGCATCAATTGATCATCTAATTCTCCACTTTTGTGTAATATCCTGCAAGCCTGTAATGCCACCATTCGTCTGGCTAACACACGGGATGGCATCGGATGACCCTGGGAAACACATAGAATTAAAAAAAAAAAATAGGAACAGCTTCAAAGGTCCATCTACAGAGTGTGTTCAGGGTTATTAGCGGTCGCATTACTTCTTATACGTGAGTTAAGGCGTTTCTAATTAATTTATTTTATTCCATAAAAGTTGAAATAATTTAAAATAAAAATAGTAGTCTGTGTGTTTCATTTCATCAAGATCCATGCCATTCTGGATATCTCCAGAACTTCCAAACATCTTCATTCATCCATACATTCGCATTTATAATATTCATCATCATCAGCTCACTATACGTCCCTACTAAGGGGCTCGGAGACTACCCTAAGTTAGGGGTGACTGGTTAGAATTAGGGGTGGTTTATAATATTAGAAAATTGAAATTTAACATAACCTGTGGTCAGACATAATTCAAAATTCAATCGTAATCTTCTATCTATATATATATATATATAAAAATGAATTGCTGTCCGTTAGTATCGCTAAAACTCAAGAACTGAACGGATTTAACTTATCTTGGTCTTGAAATATTTGTGGATGTCTAGAGAAGATTTAAAAGGTGAGAAAAATTCAAATAATTGCCGTGAAAACTCTTTAGGAACTATATTTTGAATACCGCCCGGACGGAGTCGAGGGCAACGGCTAGTTAATAATAAAAAAATATATAAATGTATTTTTTCTAATAGTTACTTACCACAATATTATACTTGACAGGACAGTTGAGAGGTAATCGAAGAGTGCAGATATATGCTGTCTTCATATTTCCCTCTCTGTCCGGCAGAGACACCTCCTCCATCCACCATTGTGGTGCGAGACGTGTGAACGTATCTGATGGTAACTTGCCACAATATCTGAAATATTAAAGGGTATAGACAAAGCATTATGACCTGCTAGTTGCTAAAACTTAATTAGTAGTCTATGTTTCTTTCTAGACTATGTTCTATATGTATGACAAATTTCATTAAGATCTGTTGAGCCGTTCCGGAGATACCATCTAACAAACATCCATCTAAAAATCGCATTTATATCTGAAAAAGTATTGCTGGCTCAATGGTTAAAGCAATTGACTTGTCTGTATATCCCGGGTTCGAATCCCGGCATGTACCAACTTGTTTTGCATTTGTACATTTATCGTATGTTGTTACGGTGAAGGAAAATATCGTGATGCTGCACATATCTGAGAAAGTCAAATGTGTGAAGTCTTGCACTGGACCAGCATTCACTATCACAGTCTCACTTAGGGTACACTCTGACCTCAGTGGGGACTTAGAGCTGATGATATTTTTTTTATATGATAAGGTGGCAAACGAGCGAGCGGTCACCTGAAATCGCTGAAATAGCGAAGTGACCGTTGCCCATAGACATACGCAATTGCATATGCGTTGCCTACCTTTCATCGACGGAGGAGAGGATGCACAGAAAAAAAAATTCCCTTTCCATGTATCCTCTCATCCGGAAAGTCTATTTCCACTTCCCATCCTTTCCTTATAAGAAAAAGGATAGGAAAGGAAAGATGACTAAATTAGGCCTCAGGGGGACACACTCATCAGACTGTTGTTGGAATTGCTTCCACTTGAGTCGTGTCTTCTGTGTGGTCGTGATATTTCACTGAGCGAGCCGGGACAATTAGTGCGAACATGTTAAAGCGGGCTCTACCACTGTTAAATATATTTAAGTTGTAATATATTTGAATAATTGTCTATTTTTTTTTAATAAGATATACAGTATGTAGACTTTTCTCAGTAATACAGTTAATTTTTGTATAACTCACCTATTTATTAGTGCAATTGCTGTACTCAAATCCACACTGGCTATATCCGAGTCACTTTTTTTTAACATCCCATCATTTATATCACAATCCACTATATTTTTATTAGCACTATCACATTTAGTAACACTATCTCTTTCTGTTTCATTGGTTGTCATAACTCTGTCTCTTTCTACTTCAATCTCGTCTTCATTTGTTATATTCTTTGATTTCTTTTCTTCATTTTTTTCTATTTCATTTGTTTGTATAACTCTGTCTCTTTCTATTTCAATTTCATCTTCATTTGTTACATTCTTTGATTTCTTTTCTCCATCTCTTTCTGTCTCATTTGTTTGTATAACTCTGTTTCTTTCTTGTTCAATTTTATCTTCATTTGTTACATTCTTTGATTTCTTTTCTTCATCTCTTGCTGTCTCATTTGTTTGTATAACTCTGTCTCTTTCTTGTTCAATTTTATCTTCATTTGTTACATTCTTTGATTTCTTTTCTTCATCTCTTTCTGTCTCATTTGTTTGTATAACTCTGTCTCTTTCTACTTCAATTTCGTCTGTATTTATTTCATTCTTTGATTTCTTGTCCTCATCACTTTCTATTTCATTTGTTTGTATAACTCTGTCTCTTTCTACTTTAATTTCATCTTCATTTGTTACATTCTTTGATTTCTTGTATTCGTCTCTTTCAGTTTCATTTGTTTGTATAACTCTGTCTCTTTCTATATTATTATTATCATTTAGTCCCGTTATATTTACCATAGTAAGTTTAGATTCTTCTACATTCACCTTTTCATCTTCAATATATTGCTTTATATCTTTATTTAATTCTGTCATATATTCAGGTGATATCACCATTTCTGTGTTTTGTGTCATTGCAGTTTCCATTGGTGTATAAGCTTTAACAATCGGCGTCAAATCGTCTGCATAATTCTCTTCCTCACTCGTAGGCTCATCCTGTACTCCGCAACCGCATTTCCTGGTCACTATCTGAAATTTATTGAAAATTATATTTAATTTGTGTAACAGCACAAAAACAGATTATATACAGACAGACAGACAGACAAAAAATACTCAAATGAGGCCACATGTCATCATCAGCTCACTATACGTCCCCACCGAGGGGCTCGGAGCCTACCCTAAGTTAGGATGATTAGGCCATAGTCAACCACTCTGGTCAAGTGCGGGTTGACTACACACATATCTTTGAATTTTCTTCTCAGATATGTGCAGGTTGCATCACGATGTTTTCCTTCACAGTAAGAAGAAGAGGCCACATGAATTAGTAGAAATAACGAATTGACCACTGCCAATAGACATTCGCTATTCCAGATGCTTTGCCTAATTTTAATCGACGGAGACGAACAGATATAAAATATTTCTCCTTACTATACGACTCCTATTCCAACAAATCTACTTCCCCTTCCCATCCAGGGGAAAGAGTATTTCGATTTCTGATTTACATATGTACATTTATCCTATGTTGTTACTGTGAAGGAAAACATCGTGATGCTGCACATATCTGAGAAAGTCAAAGATATGTGTGAAGTCAACCAGCACTTGTCCGGCGTGGTTGTCTACGGCCTAGGCACCCCTAACTCAGGGTAGGCTCCGAGCCCCTCGGTGGGGACATATAGTGAGCTGATGATGGTGATAGAACATAGTCTGCAAGAACACATAGGTTACTAATTATGAGTTTTTTATAATTCCGCGCGGACGGCCCTAATGCTGATGAAATTACCTACACACCTCTCAATGGTACCCCGACAGAAACAGATATTTCTATGCGAAGTCGCGGGTTATAGGTAGTTTTCTATAGAGAAAACGAGGTTTGGTAGACCCTTGGTTTATTTCATATTATATAAGTTCCACCCCATATAGGTGGAACTTTTGCAAAAATTATTAAAACTTACAAACTAATACGTGCTATCTCTTTAAGCAATAGTAGAATGACAACAATTTGATATCCAACAGACATGATGCAAAGCACGTAATAAAACCATATCATCTAAATAAATGAGACAACGTCATCTGTGGACAGATTTTGAAAAGATAAAAGCGCTTAACTACGCAGACTCCAACTAACACGTCATAAATCAATACTTAAACACATTTTTCACTAGCTTTATAACAATCGAGCAGACAAGCTAAGCTAGTGGAAAATATACTAAAGATAGTCGTAAACCGATATTGATATGGTTTATGTTATACTCGTCGTGCGTGACCTATTACGTGCGGAAATAAAAAAAGTTAAGTGGTCTATGTGTTCTTCCAGACTATGTTCTATATGTATGACAAATATCAGCAAAATTTCGGCCGTTATAATATTAGTAAGATTAATTATTCTAGTATTAACAAGAAATTTAAAAATATGTGTGAAGTCAACCCGCACTTGACCAGCGTGGTTGATTATGGCCTAATCACCCTTAACTTTAGGCTCAGAGCCGCTCAGTGGGGACGTATAGTGAGCTGATG